TGATGAGGAGTGGAATTCTCCGAAACTAGTATAACCCAATAACAGACGTCGATCAAAGTGTAGATTGAACTGGACCTCCCTTGAACTTAAGACTTCGAGATTAAACAATTTTCGGTTATTTATTATATCTGCTATCGTGCAGCTATGTTATATGAAGAACTGAATATTGGCCAATGACACTTTTTCTTCACTTCACCTATCCGATGTACAAGTTCTTCTCATAGTGGCTATAATTTATAAAGCACGTTCACACCAACAATTGTTTGATGTTTGTTTAAAATAACTAGATAAAAAAAGAAAGTTATTTCGATATCAAACACGAAACACCACGAAATTAAAACGTTTTTTAATTGAACTTTATTGATCACACAAGAATTCACTGTTAGAAAAAGGCAAAACCAGGATTAATAATCAACTTTAAGTACTTTATTTTAAATATACAGTGCCTAGGCTAAATAAAGTTTTACAATGTGGGTTTTGGGAGTTGAAAACAATTTAAAATTCAACCCTGATATATATACTATCAAGTAGACGTACCTTTAACCCACAAGATATATATGTATATAACTCAACAGTGGCATATCTTAATAACAATGAATACATATATATAATTCAATAAAAAAAAATCTGTATAGTTTACACACGTCAATAACACAAATATAAGAATTGGACCTTTTCTTGGTCAATCTGTCCACATAACAGTAAAGGAACCTACTGGTCAATTGAAAAGGTTTTGAGTTTTCTACAAAACCATCATCCCAGAACAGCATTCAGAAATGAATAGTGGTATTCTTTTGTTTATGTCATCAGTGAGTTTGTCCAGGGACACCGTAAGGGCAGTTGTTTTTAATATTATCTCAATTATATTGACAAAACAGTTTTTATTTTCTCTTTTTTTAAGTTCAGGGAATATTTCCTTATTCTAGACTTGCTGGGTTGAGAGGGGTGGCCTTTCTGAAAAGACTTGCCCTGGGCCCCAAAATTCCTGGCTGCAGCTCTAAGTAGGCCACACATAATTATGCTGATGTCAGCATCACACATTGTATTGAATTTGTAGAAGAAAGATATCATCAAACTGGTCGCACTTAACAAGAAGTATTAACTTTCTAAGGATCCCAATTTACTTTTGCAGCCCAACTGCAGTAAATCAAATTTCTAAATTCTCCAAATGGTTTGGTTAAAAAAAGACATTTTTCAGTAGCAAGACTAGCTAATGTAACTTCGAGATACATGCAGTTAGGAAATGATACATAGGAATACACAAACTAAAATCTTGCTGTTCAATCACAAAAATACAAGAACCTTCTTATTTTATAACAGAACAAATCATATAAAGTACTCTCGAACACACACGTACTTAATATACATCTGCATTATGCTGGTTCATGTGTAAATATTTTGAAATCTTTAGAGAACCAAGATTTTACGTTGACAATGAAAGTTCTCTAACTGCTACCCATTGTTTTTTGTCCATTAAAACATACATTTAAGATGTTAAGAGAATGGCTTTTAAAACTACTGGGTTTCACTTAATCTTCCCTCACTCAAGGGCCTCTATTGTTGAAAACAATTCACTCAAGGGCCTATATTGTTGAAAACAATACACCCAAGGGCCTATATTGTTGAAAACAATTCACTTAAGGGCCTATATTGTTGAAAACAATACACTCGAGGGCCTATATTGTTGAAAACAATACACTCAAGGGCCTATATTGTTGAAAGCAATTCACTCAAGGGCCTATATTGTTCAAAACAATATACTCAAGGACCTATATTGTTGAAAACAATTCACTCAAGGGCCTATATTGTTGAAAGCAATTCACTCAAGGACCTATATTGTTGAAAGCAATTCACTCAAGGGCCTATATTGTTGAAAACAATTCACTCAAGGGCCTATATTGTTGAAAACAATTCACTCAAGGGCCTATATTGTTGAAAACAATACACTCAAGGGCCTATATTGTTCAAAACAATACACTCAAGGGCCTATATTGTTCAAAACAATACACTCAAGGGCCTATATTGTTCAAAACAATACACTCAAGGGCCTATATTGTTCAAAACAATACACTCAAGAGCCTATATTGTTGAAAACAATACATGGATGGACCTATAATACTCAATTTGTTTCACCACCTGACATAACTGGTGTAATTGAGGTGAAAAAAAATGCATTGTTTCAAACAGCAGCAATCAAATAGCACAGTAGGAAGAAAAGTAAATAAGTTGCAACTAAACTATACACGAGAATAAAACACACAAGTAGTGGTTAAACTGTGTATTTACATAGAAAATCAAGTAAAACACACAAGGGTCCAATAATTCAAATGTGGAAAAAAAAAGAAGTTAACATAAACCCCATACATAAAAATAAACACAACCAATTAATTCTTGGTAAAACCTGTGGGAAAAAGGTGAGGTAAAAAAAAACTATTATTTCCATATACATCTAAGGCTTAACTGAAGCCACAAGCAGCACCATCATTAGGTATGAAGTTTAACTGAAGCCACAAGCACCATCATTAGGTATGAAGTTTAACTGAAGCCACAAGCACCATCATTAGGTGTGAAGTTTAACTGAAGCCAGAAGCAGCACCATTATGTGTGATGTTTAACTGAAGCCACAAGCAGCACCATTAAGTGTGATGTTTAACTGAAGCCACAAACACCATCATTAGGTGTGAAGTTTAACTGAAGCCACAAGCAGCACCATTATGTGTGATGTTTAACCGAAGCCACAAGCAGCACCATTAGATGTGATGTTTAAAAGTTGTTGACAGCTTGTGGCTCACAATAAACCTTAAAAGGTTTCACCTAAAGTTCATAAGAAAAACCTTTTTTTCTTTAATACGCAACAAAAATACCTTCTTCGTACACTTTCTTAGACATCTTGAAATAAACAGGAGACTTTTTCATGCAACAACCTTGTCACATCAATTTTCAATGTTGTCTCCAATCTGTTTATTTCCCCACCATTTTTATTTTAAGTTCAAAGAACACAAAACATTTATTTTGAGAGAGAAAATTTGCATAAGAAATGACACAGGTGGATGGGTTCTCAGAGCTCTGAGGGAACACAGTAACCCATTTATAAATCAGAAGTTACAGAACAATAGTGAATAGTTCAAAAGGTATACAAATCATGCTTCTTATAATTCAAATCTTTACCATACATAATACAGTATTATACACATTCATCTGACAAAAATCTAGACTTTTTCAATACAATACATCGTAGTTATTTTTCAATTACAGCAAATATACACCAGTTAAGAATAATAATTTAAATTTATATACAAAAAGTAAAAAATCAGAAGCTTTCTTAGGAATGCATCGTAATACTCAAGAATACGGAAGGAATTTTTGGCTGAACTTGGTCATCTACACAAATTAAAATGTGCAAGAAGTATTTATTAATTCGATTGATGTAATAATAATTTTGCTTGTAATCAACTTCTGCTGAAGTACAATTTTGAAATGAAATAAAGAATTAAAGATCAACCACCAGTTAAGACGGGCAGCTTTGTGCACACAACTGTACTCCCAATACGGAAAGAAATAAAAAGATTTCTGAACGTGAAAACCGCAATATCTTTTTTTTAGATACAGTTAGCAGCACAAACGGAACTATTCGAACGTTGAGTAACCTCAATCAAATACGCTACCAGCCGAAATATAATATTCCTTCCATGCCACTACATCGGTATGTTAAATTCAGTAAAATTATACAGAAAACTTCTGGCTTATGACTTAATATATATGATTTTTTTCTTAAAAGCTATAATAATAATACAAGGTATTTGGTAACAAAAAAAAGAAAACAAAATGCAAAAAAAAAAAAGATATGTAAATAACAATTATTTAGTATATGTGATATTTCTAGATAGTAAAATGTAATTTTTGGTCGCAACAATGATATATTGAATTAAAATCCATATAAAAATAGATCTTTCTGATGGATTTTATATTGGAAAAACAAATAACTTCCAATTTTTAACATAAAACAAAGATGTATTTATCTTTGACTATTTACAATATCAAAACCTACAGATGGGCAGGTGAAACAGATAATAGACACAAAGATCACACCGACTTCATTATAAGGATCATATGTTTATCTACTAAATTCTCTCCATTGATCTTTTCACAAATGTTACCTTCTATGTTTTGTATCGTTGTTTACAAAATTCTCAGGTTTTTAGTAAATCACTCATTTCCAGAAACAAATAAAACTATGGCTATTGTATAAAACCAAAAGTGAGACAACTCATTACCGAACAGATAGAATATATCTGGCTTAAAATTCAAATCTTACTATTACAACAACAAAAAAACTTTTTTTTTTTCCCCATCATAGCAAAAGCATACACTTGTTTGAAAATGAGTTTGTTTTTTTTACTAAGAAAAGAACACAAACCTTGTAATATCAAGCTCTTAAAAATACTTTTAAACAAATTCAGGACTAGACTTAAGCATATCTATTAAGTCGACCACCCTTGAAAATCACTCAAAATGTAGCAAACAGTGTAGTAGAGTCTTTAATTCTATTCAAATTAATTAAAACAAAATGCGTACATTCCAACTACTACAAATAATTTAGATTGTTAATGTTAAAAACCCTGTTCTTCTTGTAGCTGAAGGAACCTAAAGATTTTCATTCAACAAGAAATTTTACAAACAAATACAAATATTGTGTTTATCACACATACAAATATCTTTGTCTTAACACTTCTTTTAAAATGATTTCGTACATCAGCATTTTCCAGCTGTTTCATTAATAATTCTAAAGAATGATCACATTTAATTTCCAAACACCGTTACGTCTTACGGCGTGTGCTTACACCTCATGTGCTATATTTATACATTTTAATTTTAGATAAATGCAACTAGACACACTTACGTACCTTTACTTCTATTGTTTGTTTTTTTACATTCTGTTTAGTTTCTTGATCATTTAAAATAATTCAACATATAGTTTAAAAAGGCACTCAAACCGGCAATTTTTTTTTGCAAGACATAAACACGCTGCAACTGAATCTGGTTTAATTTTTTTTTTTACTGGATAGGAGCATTTGGAGGTGGTCGATAGTTTGGTCCCTGTATATGTAAAAAAAAAAAATCATATTTTTATATAATTATTAAAAGCAAATATTTTTATCTATATAAAATGAAAAAAATTGAAATGAACAGCCATAACAAATATAAAAAAAATAAAATAATTTTTTTTTGTGGTAAGTCAAAGGAGAACTTAAAAAATTCTACAAAATGAAATAGAATAACATTTATGAGATAACTATGAGTTTTAGACTAAAATGAAAGCGAAACTAGCCGTTAAAAACACACACACACACATATACTCTCCTCAAAATTATATATACATAAGAAACAAATGAAATAACACTTTTAATCATCTTAAACCAAAAATTATCAGTTATTGGTATACTCCATTTTCCCTTAAAGTTAATTTTCATTATTAGCTAGAATATTTAAAATAAGTTTTAATATTATTATAGTTGTGAAACTTATCATTTTTACCTAATTATATGAATCTAGGACTAACAACTAACATAATCTACATTGGCTGAATCTTGAGAGATATTATTATTACAACTGAAGATGTTGTTGACAGCAAAGCTACGCAGGCATTTGTTGTTAAGAGCCAGGCTACATAATGGGCTATCTGTGCTGTGCCACCATAGGTATCGAAACTTGGTTTTTAGCATTATAAGCCCACAGACTTACTACTGAGCCACTAGGGGTGCGACCCAAATGATGAATCAATGAAGTTTTTACTTTTTTAACTTTAATT